TTAGGAACGAAAAACATGTTATTGCACACATCTGCATGTAAAAATAATAATCATTCTCATCTGAATTAATACTCTTAGCCGGACACTTCCTTATGGGACTCATTGTTCTGGTGGATTGATGATGATGATGATGATGATGAAGGCAAATCCAAGAGAGCGAGTCACAGGAGTTTTTCCAGGGGCCTCAGACACCGGGCCCTTCCGGACCTCAGGCTCCTGAAGAAAAGAGAGACAAAATTCACTGAGCGCAGAAGAAGAGGACGACGAGAAGTAGATGAGACAAAACAGAAAGAGATGAAAGTCAAGAAGAAAGTCAAGGAAGTGAAAGAAGAGGAGAACATAGAGATGAAGAAACCAGCGAAAGAGAGCAAGCAAAAACCTATGAAGAAAGAGAGAATCAGTGACGCACAGATAACGAGTGCATAAAGAAAACAGGGATTGCATATGTGCTTAATTGTCTTGAAAAAAAATCTTAATGGTTCTAAAGGGATCATTTTCTTTAGCAAAATGTGTTTTCTTTTGATTATAGGGTGAAATATGTTCTTGACAGGTTTGCAATATCCCGATGCACTTCTCCCTATGATAAAAAGGTATTATTTGGTGCTTTTTTTTGTTTTGTAAAATCTGTATGCTTTTGAGACTTTATGGTCACTGAAGTCATAAACCCCTTGAGATTTTTACAGGACTTTTTGCAAATATGACTGCAAGCTCAACTCACAAACCTCATGAAGAGGTTACAATAACAAGAATGAGTTTATTAGTACTTCAGTGCCGGTTTCTTTTTAAGATGGTTAATGTAATATTTAATACAACGCTGTAAAAGTAATGCAATGCAAAAATTATTTTTTTAATGTAAATAGTGTTTTCTTGAGTTCTTTTTAAAGTTGCTTAAAGGAATAGTTCAGCCAAAAATGAAAATTTGCTGAAGATGTGCTCACCCTCAGGACATCCAAAATTAGGATGAGTTTGTTTCTTCATCAGATGTGGAGAAATGTAGCATTGCATCAGTGTCTCCGCAATGGATGCTCTGCAGTGAATGGGTGCCGTCAGAATGAGAGTCCAAACAGCTAATAAAATCATCACAATAATCCACAAGTAATCCACAGCACTCCAGTCCATCAGTTAACATCTGGAGAAGACAAAAGCTGAAACACATCCAGCATTAAGACGCTTTTAACTAAATCACAAGTCCATAATCCATAACTCTTCCTCCAGTGAGTCAGTGTTCTGGTGTGAATCAAGAGAGAAATCTGCACAGATCAAGCAGCGTTTAAACAGCTCTAAACACATATGTGGCTGGATTTTGATGCGAGAGACAACAGCTGATGCACTTTTTCCACTGGAGGAAGAGTTATGGATTATGGACTCATATTTTAGCCGAAGCAAGGATTTAAAAAAAACATCACAATAATCCACAAGACTTGTTTCTTACAAAAATGCAGCTTTTGGCTTCAAAACTAATTTTGCTTAAAACTAAAAGGAGCCTGAAAAACCCATGAGTTCCCAACATCTTATCAAGCTAAACTTTTGTAAAAGAACATAAAAATAAACCATTATGATTTAGTAATCATTTTTGTAATGCACAGAATTACCAACTATATATATATGTATGCGTGTGTGTTTATTATAAAAGCGTTATCCATGCACAATTTTTTCTTTTTAATTTATGTGCCCTCAAAATATAATTCTAACGCATCTTTTCCCATTCAAGAAATAATTTCATTCAGATGTTACAGTATACAAGAAAAGACCTACACCACTTCAATTTCATGTCAAGTTTTTTTTAATAATAAAAAGCATAAAAATAACATTTGGACATTGTTTGGTAGAAATGCTGCGGCCCACATCTGTCAACTCACTACATATCTAGAGGGCTGTGCACATGAAATTAAAGGGGGAAACAAAATAAACGTGTCCATTTAGGTCTAGAATGATACATCGTTAACACTTGAAGCCTTTATGTATAATGCATTATAATTAGATTTTTTTTTGCACCCTCAGATTCCAGATTTTCAAATAGTGTCCTATCATAACAAGCCATACATCATCTCAAAGCTGAATAAATAAGCTTTCCATTGGTGTATGAATCTCAACTTCAAAATATTGACCCTTATGACTGGTTTTGTGCTCCAGGGTCACAAATGATTTAATCCATCCGTTCTCACCTGTTTCGTTTCCCTGTTCCAGTGTGTCCAAAAACGAGTCTCTGCTTTGTCAATCTCTCGACTGGGAACCTGAAAATATGAGCGAAACAATGATAAATCCTGTGATAGTAAAAGTCTGATGTATTAACCGTTTATTGAACATTTTAAAAAATATTAAAAGTTTGCATGTGCGTTTTATGTTTTGTATCCTATTTGATCAGCTCATATAGTGAAAAAATGCAGCTCAATCTTAGAGACTCAAACTGAGCAAAAATATGAAATTGTTGCAGATGCTGATATTTTTATAATGTAATCCTGCTGCTTGTGATGTAAATCAATGAGATCTTTCTAACAGTAGAGCAGATACTGACATAAACTGATCTAAATATCAGTGGTCGCTCTATATCTCCAGTAATAATAAGATGAGACTGAAATGCTCCAAACATATAATGCAGTGATGGAGAGCTGAAGAAATAAAGGCTCCTCAGAAGATGTGAGATGTTCTGGAGGCTTGTGAAGATCATTCCTCCGCTGAGGAACAGTGAAAGTAAAGCTTCTGGAAACAAACGCTCCTCAAAAGATCCTGAGGATCAGATTTGAGACTCTAAAACATGATTGATGGAGAATCAAGTAAAGCTGAGCTGCTTCAGTGTAGTAAGTGTTCATCTGGAGATATTACTGATGTTATTCTGACGCTTACTTGATCAAAATCAGTCAAGATTTGACTCGTGAAGCTCCAGCTACAGTTACACTAAAAGAGCTTTGACTGGATAAAACACTCACACAGAAGGGATGCAGGAGATTGGGTGTGAAACAGGTTTAACAGCATGTAATTTCACAGCCCTTCCTTGTTTCAAGTATGAGAGTTAGACAGACCTTGAACGCGATGGTTTCATACGGCTCGGCTGCAAACAGCAGATACTGCCAGCGACGGTCCGGAGGTTCGATTCTCTGCTCATATGCTGACATGAAGCGATGCCTCGGCCCGATACCTTCTGCTATCTCTGGGTAATCAATCTGAAAAACAAGGCCATTGTTTATTATGGCAATGCAGGGATGCATAGGGGTGTGATAGGGGTTGCAGAAATAATATCTGGATATTTTCTTTAATTTTATCGATATTTAGACGATATTTTGTCGAGTGTGTTATTGTGCTGGTATCTTAAGGACTGCCGTGGACAGCTGACACAATGTTTTTGATATTCTTCATATTCTGTGTGGCGGTCAGTTCACAGCAGTGACAGAAATTAATCTTTTCCAATACGTTTATAAATTGATTTTTACCTTTTATGGGCATTTTTACCTTTATAAAGCCATTTTTCTAAAAGCGTCTATTATGTTTCGAGTCAAATTCTTACATTTAATCAGTGAATTAGAATATTAAGACATTTGGGCTGTTACCGAGCAAATTAAATCAGTATTAAAATTAATCTTTGCAATGCAGAGGAAGCACAGAAGCTGCGTCTGAAGTGGTATTTAGATGTATTTACACACCGTTTAATGCAGGACATGAATGCATTTAACCTGCAATTACAAATGCATGAATAATGTTTTGATATATTAAACATAAAACGTTGCATACTGTTATTTGAAGTTATTTAAATAATAAAAATAAACTTTAAATGTGAAATTAAAACCGCCAGTAGGTGGCAGCAAGTCACTGTTAATAAGCGAGTCACTGCGACTGAACCGAATCATTTAAACGCTTGATTCATGTTCCTCAAAGGCGAAAAACAGTGCTGTGGCTGTGTTGTGAATTATTTTTGTTGTCGAAATAGAGCAAAAACATACGTTTCTTAATTAACGTCCTGTTTTTTGAACGGTTGTAAAAAAAATAAATCAATCAATTCTACATTTGTAATCATGGTAATTTTTGGAGAAAGAAACGACACTCTTTGTGTGATATTGATTAACTATATGATATAAATATATACAGTTTCTGTCGCCATATCTTGAATTTTGTGATCATTCTAAATGCATTTTATTAGACTGAATCATGCAAAATACTCGATAACGTCAAAATCGCACATCGTTAAAACAACAATTACGATATTAATGCAGACGATATATATCGCACACCCCTAGTTGCATATCAAAATTACAAGAGAAAAAGATCTTATTAACATTAACCCCGAATAGACCAGCCAGAACACTCAGCTTCTCAAAGTCAGAGAGAAGTTTACCTGGAAAAGCAGACTCTGCTGTCCGATCTCTGGATCTCTTTGTTTTGTTACTATGAGCAAAATATAAAAACACGGGCACATCTGTTAATCGATGACATTTAGATCTGTACCACAGCTTCTAGACAATGAATGTCCAGAACCGTCCAGTTGTTTGTGATTATTGGATAAGGATTTTTTTAAATCACTGCTTCCTTAGACTTTATGAATTTAAACGGTTATAATATCTAATGTACAAATATACCCAATGAGAAAATAACAGGGAAATAACTGATGTGAAGTACATAGAAAAACGTATTTTCTTTAAAGGGGTCATATGATGCGCTTTCAAGTTGTTCTTTCTCTTTGGAGTGTTACAAGCTGATTGTGCATAGATAAGATCCCTGAAGTTGCAAAGACTAAAGTCTCAAAACCAAAGAGATATTAAACGCCTCGTTCTAACACGCCCCCACATATCTACCTCACTATGTGGAAATATTTGCATAATGCGCCAAAATGTGCACGCAAAGAAAGAAGGCGTGGTTTCAGTCACCGCAGTTAGTGTTGAAGCAGCATGTCAGGGAGACGCTGTGTTTCTGTTAAGATTACTTACAACAGAACAGCAATGCATTTTATGGACGACCGTTTCGTGACTTTGCTCTGACAATCTGGCGCTTCTGAATCAGCTACTGTTTTG